ACTTGTGGACTTCAATTCCCAGAATTCCTCTTCCAGTCATGTTGGCTCAGGAACTCTGGCATTGAAGTGTGCCAGTCTTAAAGCTGTCAAGTTACAAGACCCTTGCACCCCTAACCTTTTAGAAAAAAAACCCAGGGGTGCTCAAAGTTGACAGCTTTAAGACTTGTGGACTTCAATTCCCAGAATTCCTCTTCCAGTCATGTTGGCTCAGGAACTCTGGCATTGAAGTGTGCCAGTCTTAAAGCTGTCAAGTTACAAGACCCTTGCACCCCTAACCCTTTAGGAAAAAAAACCCAGGGGTGTTCAAACTTGACAGCTGTAAGACTTGTGGACTTCAACTCCCAGAATTCCTCCTCTCGCTCTTCATCTTGATGATGTGCGGATGGGCTGGGGGAGGGAGCTGGAACCGGTTCAAAATGGTACACTTGATTTGTGGAACCTCTTCTATAGAAGAGGTTAGAACTGGTAGGAACCCACCCCTGCAGGTAGTCCTCGACTTATAACCATTAGTTTAGTGTCTGTTTGGATTTACAACAGCACTGAGAACAGTGACTTAAGTCCGTTTTTCACACTTAGATGGTTGCAGCATTCCCATAGTCACAGGATCAAAATTCGGATGTTTGGCAACGGATTCATATTTATGATGGTTGCAATGTCCCAGGATCTTGTGATCCCCTTTTGCGACCTTCTGACAAACACGATCAATGGGGAAGCCAGATTCACTTAACAACTGTGTTACATTGCGGGCTGGTCCTTTGTCATTTCCAGGGCAGCCCCATGGACCAATTCTAAGCCGCCCGTGGGCCAGATCCTCCCCCAGGGCCCTTGAGTTTGACATCCCTGATTTAAAGCATCTTACAAGCTCATCGTGCAAATGCACGACACAGCTATCAAAACATCAGCGTATCACCTGGCAAAGTTCAATCAACAGTTCTGGTGTTACAAATATTAAAGCATGGTGCCAGGTGTGCTCAGGTGCCTGTAACCCCCTTATTGCTCGAGTCCCCTGCTGCTTCCTGGAAAAATAAGCATGTTTTTAAAAGCTTTCTGAATGTTAAAGGGAGGAAAGTTAGTTCTTACATCTGGAAGAAGGATGCTCTGGATGAGAGGAGATCCTGCAGAGGGGGATCACCTTTTATTTGTATTTATCTATGTGTATCCCCCCCCCCTTTTATTATTTTTACAAATAACTCAAGGTGGTGAACACACCTAATACTTCTTTTTCCACCTATTTTTGTAACAACAATTGTGAAATGAATAGGGCTAAGAGAAAGAGACTGGCCCAAAGGTCACCCAGACGGCTTTCATGCCTAAGGCAGGACTAGAACTCACAGTCTCCTGTTGATTGGCCCAAAGTCACTCAATTGGCTTTCATGCCTAAGGCAGGACTAGAACTCACAGTCTCCTGTTGATTGGCCCAAAGTCACTCAATTGGCTTTCATGCCTAAGGCAGGACTAGAA